ACTTTGGAATTTTTAAATTGCACGTAGGCAGGGAACATCACCCTAAAATTTCAGCCTTCCAGCTCTTCTGATAGCCGAGTTAGTAATTTCCCTGCAGGAACTTTCATACTCCCTTACTTGTGTACCATGCATAGCTGGGAACTGAATTTGAAATCTTTAGCTAGTACATGCACAGGGAATATCCTTACAAAGTTTCAACTCCTTAGTTCATGTGGTTCCCGAGATAGCTTTCCCGCCAAAAAATTTGCTTATTTTTTTAAAGCGTCCGTACGTGGCAACCCGGTGTTTGCGGAGGATGAAATTAAAATGGGAGGGTCGCGTATGGTATAGGCACATATTCCCTAAGTTTCAGCCTTCTAGCTTTCCTGGTTCTCGAGTTGAAAGTTGGTGACACAAAGTGCGAACACACACACACACAGGCAGCCTCTTCCCGATATGCATTGTTGCAATTTACATATATGCAAAAGAGCATATTGGGAAGAGGCTGTCTGTGTGTGTCTGTGTCTGAGTGTGTCTGTGTGTTCGCATTTTCTGTCACCCACTTTCAACTCAAGAACCATAAATACAAGAAGGCTGAGGCTTCGGGAGTATGTGTCCATAACATGTGCGGGCCTCCCGTTTTAATATCCTCTCCCGCGGACGCCTGGATGCCGCCTACGGACGCTTTAAAAAAATATGCAAATTTCTGGAGGGAAAGCGATCTCGGGAACCAGGCAGGGTACTGGGCTGAAACTTTATAGGAATATTCCTTGTGCATCTGTTAGCTAAATATTTCAAATTCACCCCCAAGGTATGCAAGGTACTCACGTAAGGGGGCATGAAAATTTAATTGGGAAAATTGTTAACTCGGGAACCATGAAAGCTAAAAAGCTGAAATTTCGAGGGAATGTTCCCCGTCCAAGTACAACTTAAATATTTCAGATTCAACCCTCAGATATGCGTGGTTCTCACATGCAAGCGCGTAAAGTGTTTGGCGGGGGGAATTGCTAATTCGGTACCCAGAAAGACTGGAAGACTGAAATTTTAGACAGATGTTCTCTGTCCACGTGGAATTTGAAGATTTCAAATTCAGCTTTTCAGGCATACGAGGTACTCACTTACGGGCATGTGAAAGTATTGGCAGGAAGTTTGTTCACTGAACAGCTGGGTTGCTTTCAAAGAGCAGCCATTAAATGGAAATCGTTCATTTACTTTATGCAAAATTTGTGAGATTTACGCTCGTGAGCGCAAAAGGCAGATAATAACCTGAATACTTCAAGTCCGGTGCAAAAACATGTGGTTGCACGGGCCCGCCTGTTGCGTTCCAATTTGGGTTATTTTTAATTTTACTTTTGCCTTTTACTTTAGAACCTTTTTCATAACCACAAAATATCTAAGCTTCAAATACCTGCTAATATATGTAATTTTGGTCTTGCCACATAATGTGGATTGCATAGCTTTTCAGTTGCAATGTAGAATTAATGGCTTGTGGTGCCGCATCCAAACTCAAAAGTCTGTAACTTGCAGATAAAATTACATCGGAAGTTCTGCTTTGTGCATTGATGTTCCACGCTCTGACATTTGATTTTTATAATTGATTTTTATTATGCGTTTTTGCCGTGCAGCGCTAGAGCGCTGCAACAGGCAGCAAAAACGCATA